GTCGCAAAAATCGTACACATTACATCGCAACAATTTGTTAATAATAAATAAAAAATCTGTCATCTATATATGTATATACTATAAACACAAGTAAAAATATTTTTTGTTTTTGATTATGTAAATTTTCCAATCTTTGCATTTCTACGTCTGATTTGTTATTTATATCTTCCACTTCGAAATTTCTTTTTGTCTCGACTCGCTTTCTACATTAATTTAATTTTTTTTTTTTTTTATATTTTGACCTAAGGTATCATAAAAGATGAAAAGATGAATATCCTGCTTTATAAGTCTATTGAGAAATTATGAAATAAATTCTGCTGAGCGGAAGTTCTTCTTTTACACAAATATAGAATATGAAAAGGGCAAACGTGAAGCTTAAATGACAAAGAAATGTCTTATGTGAGAAGGGTAATTGTAGGTAAAGGAACTTAAAAACGGCCTTAAAACGAGATCTTTCACTTTAATTCGCATTTCTATGCGATTCTCCTTATATTTGAACTCTTCATTTATAGTCGCTGCAACTGGTGTATTATTACTGCGGCTATTGATAATACTATATGATACTTAATAATACTGCTGTGCGTGTTTCCTTTCATTACAAACGATGGTTTATATAGAATGTTTTCTTGTATCTTCTTCTTGATTACCGGCCAGCAAAAATAATAATAAAAAATATCGAATAAAATACACCGGCAGTAATGACACATTAATTATCCTCCCATATTGTTCGCGATTGGTCAAAATTATTAAATTATTAATTATTATGGTGACCAATATGCATATATAGACCGGTTATTTTATGATCATAACAACATTAATATATTATAGAATGCATTAATTTTCTTAAATTGTGCACGTGGTGTATTATATTACACGAAATAATTGACATGTCAACGAATTTCGGTATTTTTTTCGCGATATTTAATTTAATTCCCCCATCGAGCGGTCCGTTCGTCTCATTTCATGCGGTCCCCTGGGCGGCTGCAGTTATGCAAATCGAGATGATACACCATTAGTGGTATCCCTCCGGCGTGTTCTTCTCCGCGGAAGCCAATCAGCGTCGCGAGAGGCGCGTAATTAGCAGTTACATTATATCCTTCGGCTTTCGTGCGTATGTGCAGGACATATTGGCGACGAGTGCGCGCACTCGCACCAACACTCGCACAGTTGTTCTCGCGCTTGTTAAGATTCATAAGGCGAACGTCGCGTTACACGCGACCCGGTGGCCCTCATTAGAGCTCTAATTGCACGTGATTATCCCGGCAATTACTTGGGAATACATTACGACTCGCCGAATCGCGATCACGCGGGCGTCGCATCATATCGCAGCTTCGCTCTTGTGCTCAAAAGTATAAGTCAAAGTATACGTTTTGTTAAATTTAATATGTTATATTTAATTTTAATATTTGTCATAGGTTCAATCGACAAAATAATATTTAGTTGAAAGATTTAGTCAAGTTTACGAATTTTTTTCAGTGTATATATGATCAATATACATCGCTTGAAACTATATAATCCAAAGCTCCTCATTATATATTATAACAAGTTGTTAAATTTAATATGTTATATTTAATTTGTTAAATTTAATATGTTATATTTAATTTTAATATTTGTCATAGGTTCAATCAACAAAATAATATTTAGTTGACAGGTTTAGTCAAGTTTACGAATTTTTTTCAGTGTATATGATCAATATACATCGCTTGAAACTATATAATCCAAAGCTCTTCATTATATATTTATAACAAGTTGTTAACTGGCGTGAGACTTGCTATATACTATCCTCTATTGAAAAAATACTTTTGAAATGATGACCACCCTAAGTGTCTATGATTTATACAACTAATGAGATGCGTATAGCGATGGCGAGAATATTCGTGCATTTATTTAAAAGCTCGCGAATTTTACTAATCGACATTCCGTGTCTTGTTAATTATAGTAAACGAATGAAATCAAAGAAGCTATAATTATTTATTTCCGCGCTTTCTTATGCGAAATAATATTTAATGACAAAGTTGATAATTATTTATTTGTGTTTCTTATTTACTGAATGGCAAATTCACATATATATAATTGAACTACAAATTTATATATAATAATAAGAGGATATAATTACTGTTCATGATCTCTCTTTGTTGAATAAATACAATATATGTATGTGTAGCATACATATGTATACAAATGAATGTTTCTGAAATTGTCATTGTCAGATAGGCGCAATCACGAGCTGACCTTACTTTCGAAATAATGAAAAAAATAGACGCCGTTTAAATACATTTTTCAAGCAGTTTGGCTTATCTTTTTTTACGATGTAAAGGACGATTTGCATTACCAAGTAGCTAGGTGTTTTTTTTTTTACGACACGATAGTAGTACGTCATTTATCTATACCTTCTCTACATTGTACTTGCTTTTCTTCGTATATATTTAAGTCTAGATTGATTTTAACTATGGAAAAGAGTCTTGAATATTTTACACATATAATCTAATGCTTTTTTCATTAAAAAGAAAAAACAAACTTATGTATTTTTACGATACATTATTTTATAATTAGAAGTGATAAAGAAATAAAGACTTGCGAAATGCAAATCCTTAATATAGCAAATAAAAAAGCGATAACTTATATTAAAGAATTCTACCTTGAAACTTCTGTCTAACTTATACTCTCTCGAATTTCGCTAAAGTGATAAAGAACAGCAAACGTTGCATGATTGTAATGCGATTTTTTTTGCACGAAATAATAATGGACAACAAAAAGAACAATGATAAACAAGGAGAGGATAAAAAAGAGAACGCACATCAGGAGCCTGTTTAGAGCACGGTCTTACGTACAGGTCAGGACACTTCTACATCGACTACATGCTGTCAAGTGTAACAAAATGTAACTAATATGACTGCCAACTCAGGCCGATTTATTCAATGTGCACCAGCGCAGATTTTCTTTATTTTGACAGTTTTGTGTTAGATCTTGCGCACACTTGAAATAATGTTAAAAATAAACAGGGTTAAAAAAACTGTCGGAATAAATATTAAATATTAAGAATAGTTTTTCTGAACTTATTTAAAAATTGTGAAATATGTAATAAATATATTATTATGTGACAGGTCTGAGAGTTGGCATACTGGTTACATATTTTGTACGCGCTTGATTTTAATGATCTGTAAATAAAAGATCGCGGTTTAGAGAATATTCCGACATGGTCCAAGATGGCTTCCGCTCTCCGGTGATTCCCCGTCTTTCTCTTTCTCTCTCGGCTTAATTTGCCGTACCGTCCCAACCCTTCCCTGTCATCTCGTCCTTTTTTGGCGCGCGCGTTACGCCTATAGAATACGTAACGCACGCACACGTACGTGATATGCGGCGCATCTGCAGCAGGATTTTACGTTTGTCTTCGCCGACGCGAAGTGCATGTGTGCGCGAACGAAATGGTATCGAACACCACCGAAAGACACACGGCCACCCTTCGGTCACGGATTAGCATATCAATCCCCCTCGTTATACAGTGCCGACGGTCTCTTTCTCTCTTTTCCGTTCTCGATCCGCGCCATTAAAGTTCGCGCGAGTATAATAGCGCATATAGCTATTGTTACATTCGATCGCGAGCTCTATTTGCGATATCCCCGTACTATAGGTAGTTAGAGATTTTAAATCGGCTCCATTTGACACGCGAATGCTGGCTAATTGGAAATTTGAAAGCGGCTCTATTTGTCATGCGAGCTCTAAAACATGCTCTCCTTAATACTCAAACTCTAATTGCAGATTGTGTAGACGTAGTGCTGTTTAATATCTACAGAATCTTCGAAGCGACACCGTAATGGCATCGACGAGAGATTAATATAATTTTCAGGCTTGATGATAATAAATATCGATGATACCGCTAATAAATATTGCCGACGGATTGCATTAATCTATCGCGTTTGGTATCATATTATAATCTACCGCTATATTAATAATACTGAAACACGATGCTAGTTGAATATACGTTTAACGGATAGTCTTTGTAAGCAAATCTTGTAAATCTTTGTACGGACAAGCTCATCAATATAGTTGTCAATCTCCTCTTTTTCAGAAATAATCCGATATAGAACTACATATGTTCAATAATATTCAATTAAATGCTTATCATAACTGTTTGTCATTATCGGTGTAGCCAATCCCACATAAAGAAATAAAGAAGTGACGGAACTGTCGGTTAATTAACGTCGGTATAAAATCGATCTATAATGATCCATAATTTATATATCGAGTGCGAGAAAAAAGTTATTACCATAGGAGATATCATTTTTACAATATCGGCATCGCGTGCCTCGTCGATGAAGTATCGGACACAACATTGCATTGCCACGATGATATAATTGCTTTTCTTTATGAAGAGTGTATCGCGTGCGGATCTCGGCGCGGCAAACGATGTGTAAATGAGACGATTATTGCTGCGAAACGAAGAGGGAAAACAATGAGACGCGTTTACATCTCTCATGTACAACTCCAACGTCGCGCGATACGCGTTTTTCACCTGGCGATCCTTCTAAGAAATATCAATCTTGTTTAACGCGTCCCGAGAATGCTAATGTCGCGTCACTGACATTGCTTTATTAATTCTCCGTAGCGTTTGCAATAACGTTATGCCGCGCTCGGTAATAGGAAATACATGTGCATCAGAGATAATCTAATTATCATTCTTAATCAAACTGATTGATTAAATCAACTGAAAATTGATTATTAATCAATTTTCAATCTTATTAAATATTTGATTTACAAGATAGTCGATGTTATTTCATAATAATTTTCCTGCGTGAGAGAGTCGAAGAGAGAGGGCAAATGATAAATAATAATAATTATTATTATTATTATTAGCTTGTTATAATTAATAATGGCGAAAACAAATTTCAATTAAGAATTTTGAGCTTGATTAAAAATTATATTTAATTATTTGACTTGATTTATTTTTGCCCGATTTGTGATTAAAAAGGATATGTTTACGATGAATAAAATTGTCTTACCTGCGTTTCCGTCAACGACAACGCTTGCGCCAACTGCTTCCTTTCCGCGCCGACGACGTAGTGATTTTTCTCAAAGGCGTGTTCCAATTTCAGCAGTTGACTCGGACTGAAGGCCGTCCTTATTCTCTTCGGTTTTCTGAAGGGTTGAAGCAGAAAGCCGGGTATGTCAGGACCTGAGACGATAAAGTATTAAAATAAAATTGAGCTCTCAAATTAAATTACAACTCTAGAATGAAATTAACTCTTAAATTAAATTCGAAAGTATTTAAATTTCATTTATACGTATAAGAGAGAATTAATTTCACAAATTTTAATAGAACCTAATAATATATCATTATATCACTTTTATTAAAACTCGAAAGGCAAGGTGAAAGCGCGCGGCGAAGGAAAAATAAAAAGGCGAAATTAACCGCGAAGTTAAGGAGAATATCATTAAGTAGGAAGAGAAAAATATTGTGTATCTAAATAATTAATCGTACGATATGGATCGACGAAGGTAAGAGCGCGTAACTCAATGCCGACAAATTAAAATAGTAATTAAATGACAGCGGAGCTGCCCGCATATCAAGTTTTCTCGTCATCGGACAACAAACAGTCGATTTTCATGAAAATGGGGGAGAAGAAGAAGAACAGAGACCCGTACGATTTATTAACGATTAATTAATTGTTAAACGCCGAGACGTCATCCGGCTAGTGTCTGTGTTTGTATTGTAGTGTCTCGCCTTCAAAATATGTAAACCGACACGCAAGCCGCACAAACTCGTTCACGAACCTTAGGGCGATGCGGAAAAGAAAGCACCTAGTCTCTCCGAGGCTGAGTGAGAAGGAACTCGGGGGTCAGGTAATTGAGTATTCTACCACGAAAAAGCCATGTCGATCGGCCGCGATAGCCCTGTCTGCCGGAAGTCAGCCGAGATGCTTTAGCGGAAAGCACGGGACGATAAATCGCCACGTCGCCCCACGTGCTTTTCCTTCAATGCGTGATTGTATACCTCTCCGACCGTGTCTCATGCAATGTGTTAATTCCGATTTCTAGCACTCAGCGATGGAGGGAAAAATTGCGTGAACGATATTGATACGAAATTGGTATCGACATTGAAATCAGTTGAGAAAACAGGGTGTCTAGCAGTCAGGGAAAAGTCAGGAAATTTTATTTATCTGGATTTTTTCACATTATTCTACATTGTTTCAATAATTTGAAATTTTTTATTCAATAGATATAAACTTTTTCTTGACTCCCAGCAATTTTCTGTGTTAAAAATCGATTCATCTACAGCCTGTTCGTAAATTTATATTTTCATCGTCGTGTTAATTTATTTCAATGTGTTTGATAGAGGCAAAACTAAAAAATTTGATATAATATAAATAAAAAGGTGATTATTTAAATAGTTTATGACGACATGTTTGTTTCGATTATCGTACATAATACAGATTCTATAATTGATTTAAATTTAACCTCTCTCTCTTTTCATTGTTGACAAAAATATCTCAAGGATTTCATGATTTATCATCTACGATACATATATGCAAATATATATATTTGGGAAAAATAATACTAAAAAGTCAGGGAAAAAATTAATTTCTGATCTCGAAAAATCTGAAAAAATGAGGGAATTTTTCATCGAGTCTGCTGAACACCCTGATCTACTTTACACACAATGGGATGTACTAAGTGTGAAATTCGTAGTATAAAATAAAGGAAGAAAATATTAGACTTTTCTCTCCTTTTCCGCTTGGCGACCACCGGCATTAATTAGCATCCACACGTACAGTTTCCGTATTATTATTCATTGCGGTTTCTAAATTACAGCGTCAGCGCGCAAAGTGATCTAAATAAGTCACGCTCAGTAGGTTATACAGCTAGTAACCGGTCTAACGTACACACGACCGCAACGGTGAATCGTATCATTTGCATTGCGAAAAATTTATCCACCAGGATCCACGGCGGCTGAAACTGACAAGTTAATAACTGGATAGCCGAGCGACTGCTATATCCTCTAACCATCTGTACGTTTCCCATATTTCTACCGGCTGCAAATTCGCAATTGCAGCTCGCGCGCGTTTTAGAGCTGACAAAGTGATATCTAAAAATAGATGAGACGCATCGACTAGTAGTATCGCGATTGCACGATGAATCATTTGGTTTAATGCTGCCGATATACTCGGTCAATGTACCGCGACTTTATTGGATATTAGACGTAGAGTATCCTTGATACTTGAATAGAGGACACCCGATAGTGCAAATCTACTCATTTGCATCGCGAAACAATATCATGTGTATAATCTTCTCTAGCCAAGTTTATAGACGTACCTATCATTTCAAATGTGACCTTTTGTCACAATGCTATATAGAATTGACATTTTCCTCGTTTTAAGAAACAAAAGAAACTTTGTAAAAAAAAAAAAAATAAATAATGAGTACTTTTATTTATAATTTAGCGTTAAGGGGATCCTTCACGATTATCTATTTTATCGACACTATCGTATATTTTCGTACTTCTAGAATTTTTCTGCATTAATTTCTCAGAATATAAATTGCTTCTTTACAATTGCAATACATGCATCAATAATTCCAGGAAATCTCGATTTTATATGAAAAATGTGAAGTTTTCCTTACTTATTTTCATCTCGATATGACATCTCGAATTGCAGACAAACTGTCAACCTCATCATAATATATGCTTTACATAAACCATATACATTTTGTACGAATAAAAAAGCACATTCCCTAGAATTAGGGTTTGTTATCCTCTAAATCTGGATTAGAAGTCTAATAAAAATGTGTAATTAGAAATAACGATTCGTGCATATGTGTGCCGCTATTTTGTCGGAGTTCGTCCTTTGCTGAGGGATCCCCTTAATTTATTATTATTATTTCCTTCTTTTTTTTGAGGTTCTATTAAAAGAGAAGATGTGTCAGAAGAAGATTTTAATTAAGCACGTCTCGGGAAATATATTTATAGCTTTATATCATTGTTTTCCTCGTTCCCCCCGTTGTCATTCTTCAGCATCGCATTTTCTCAGAAGAATCGCGGAACGCAAACCTCTTAATGAGCACGTCGCGTACACGCAGGCGTGTGCTGCTTAAATAGGATGCGCTTCCACGTGCGAGCGCATTCTTGCAAATCGCGCGGCGAAGGTTGATCCTTGGCGGGATCAAAGAGCCTCGCGTGCGAATAGACGCATTAATCAGCGTTATCTGCAGGTGGCGAAAATACGCAGCCGCTTCCGTGATCCATCGTAATTCACATAATTCACAGGCCTAGAGAAACGTAGCATAAAAATGCTTTATTTTATCTATACGACTTTCATGAATATACATATAATAAATTTGTCGACCGTTTAAAGGTAAATTAATATATATATATGTACATATTTTATGTCCTAACGGAATAATTTCTCGATTTAATTTAATGCTTTATAAATTAAATCGATAAATTATTCCGCGATATAATTTGCTCCTTTCTGTTGTTTCTAACAACAAAGGGAGTGAGAGTCATAGATAAATGTAAATTGTATCGAATTACACAGAAAACGGGCGAGTCGCTACAGGTACACGCTCGACGCTAATTACAGCAACGGAATAAAGGATCATTAGCGGCGCGCCCGTGCGTGAAGCGATCGCTATTTATATGGGTAATGAATAGTAATGCGGTGACTCTTACTGCGACTGTGTGCACAGCCGCAATTTTGAATGCGCGACGTATGTTGCGTACAGCAACCATGATCCGCAAACTATGAAGTAACAATCGCGTTTTGTCAATAATTAATCAGTTAGCTGGATGGCTGGAATTACGTTTAACGACGCGCGAAAAGTGCGATACAATAGACGCGCGTAATAAATAATTATCCATTTTTTTCTAGGGTATATTTGAATCATTTTAATATTGTATATATTTCATAATTTTTATTTTAATTATATTTTTAATTACTTTTTTTTAATTGTATATAAGATCTACTATCTGAGAGATTCTTCAACCTATTTTATACAGATGACAATAATTATTTTAAAATAAAAATGTATTTGTGTAAGTGGACACAACAAGGTGAGAGCTAATTCTGTTTAATATAAGCGTTCATTACTCATCGTGGTCTTTATTCAGTTATTAAATAAATAGATTTAATCATTTATCAGAATTCCAATCCGCACGCCAATATCATACTTATAATCGGACCATCGGTTCTCATGACATTTAAGATTATAATATAAGTATTTGACTAGATATTTTGCGTACAACTTACAACATTACTGTAATATGATTGACAGGACACAAGTTAGTGTCGAAACGTCTCATGTAATTCGTCCAATGTGAATAAATACACGATTACAAATTTTTTTACATCCCACATATTTGCTCGTTCAAGAAAGCCTCAATTTATTATTATTACTATATACTTTCTTTTAATTCTTGAGAGAAAGAAATAAAAATGCGAAAATGATTCTATATATCGTCCGATCTTCGGGAATGCGGACGATCTGGGATTCGCGATCCATATCGATTCCGCGACGAGATCGCGGAATAGATACCTCATCGTGGATAGCTCGTCGTCGTTAGCGATTCCTTAAGAGCTTCCTAGACATCGCCTAGAGCGGCGCGCTTAACTCGTCCTTTGCCGAGCAGCAGCAGCAGCAGCAGCAGAAGAAGAAGAAGAAGAAGAAGAAGAAGAAGAAGAGAAGAAACCACGACGACGACGAGGAGAGGAACGACATAGTGCGCAGAACGAAGAGGACGAGGAGACGAGTCGGACGGCCTGTAATTACGGGAAGCTTGTGCTGCGGCTTTCGCAGCTGAGACGCCCAGAGCGACTCGAAATTACTCAAAAATAAGACCAAATGGTAAACGTATCAAATTATATCCCCCTCTTCTTTCTCCGCAGTCAGCTTCCCTCGGGCCTCTCTTTCTCTCTCTTTACCTGATATACTTCGTATCCAACCTTCGTGCTTGTCCATCTTTCTCTCTCGAGCTCTCGCATTTTGCCGGCAAAAGCTGCTCCCGCTCGCACTCTAATGCGTTTTTAATTGTCGCTAAGCGTGCGACGAGACGTCGTTAGTTTCGCACGTGAAACTAACAACGGCTGACGCTATCGTGAAACGAGTGAAAATGCAAATAAGGAAAGGTGGATGCGCCGGCGTTCGATAATTCGTGTTATTATATCCGTTGAGAAAGCTCGGACTTGAGAAAGGGGTAAAATATTTTTTTGAATTATAAACAAAGGTATAGACTCTACCGAAAGTGAATAAAAAAATATGCGCATATTCAGATTAAAATACCGATGAAAAAAATGTCTGTCAGCTCTGATGTACTAATTGTAAGTTTTTTTTTTTTTTTTAGAAGAGATTTTTTATTTTATAATTTTTCTTTTCTTCGTTAAAAGTCAATTCATAAATTGCAGAGAACCTATAGTGTGATATCACGGTACTTTAGCTGATTGCTCGACTTTATTATTTCTCGTGGCTACCGTAATTCCAGCGACGATCGTCGTCGCACTTTTTCACGAAGTAATTTCATCGTATATCTGAAATAATTAACCGTAACGCTATTAATTATTCGATCTATTTAATTCCGTTTGCCGTCGGATAATTTCCAACTGGCCGTAAATATAGTGAATTGTGAACTGCGAAATGAGGAGTTAATCTCATCGGAAGTTTAATTAAAAGTTAGACCAGCATTTAATTCAACGCTGAAGGTAGCCTTGAACTTTGGGCCTGCGATAAAATTCTTTGTCTCGTGCATTCTTATATACAGAGATCTTATTATAATTGCATACACACACAATATAATTAATTATAGGTATATTATAATTACGACGGCAGATGTGACTTATGCAAACGTGATCAATCGTTTAATATCGTAAAATGACATCGTAAAATTTTATATAGCTCTCTCGCATATTTATTTTCGCCTTACTCCATAAAATAACCATCAAGTGTATTTTATATAATAATAATGACAATATATACACGGCTAAGTTGTCATATCATAATGTGGCGTCTAAGAATCGCAAGTTAATAAAATATTCGACTTGCACAGCAATTACGAAATGACACTTCCCGGCCGAAGCGGAGCCATTTAATGATTTTAATAGCCCGCGATTGATTAGGCGGCGACGCGGTCCTTTGATTTCGCTACCGGTAATTTGCGAATGGAATAGAAATGACGCGAGAAAATCCCATTTCCCCCGCGACAAAAGGGTGATTGGCACGTCGCGGTCGTAAAGTCTGCCTCGATGCAAACGGCCGCGACCGGTTTTACGAGAGAGACTATTTAAAGCATAATCGAATTCGCGCTAATGGCGATTATTAGTGCCAACGCATATAGTAAGAATTTTGCGACAAATTGAAAACAATATAATAATAAAATTGCAATCTACAATTTTACGTTATACCTTTACAAAACGAGAAAGATTTAAAACTTTACACGCATATATATAAAATATATGGGAAAATGTGTTAAATTCTTTAAATAAAAAAATATATTTATTTTTTAATATTAAATTATGCAGCACAGAACGTCGGCATAATTCAGTTTCAACGGAGACACTCTATTCTGCGATAGGAATATTCAACAAAGTTTATACAGTCACCTTCGATAAAGATGCCTATAATGCAGCTATTACACGCTGAAATCGTAAATAACTTCAAGCGTTTTGCACTTTTACGTCCTTTTTGTAAATTGTTTTTTTTTTGTATACCACGGAACCGCGTAAACAAAGTGATAGTCACCGAGAATGACATTTGCATATACACTACGTCACGACGAGAAATCATGTCGCGCAGCTCTATATTCACGAAAGTTTTGCGAACTGCCATGTACTTGCATAAAATATTTTTCACGATATATCATAGACCGCGCGCGATCTCACAGATATCGATGTGGACACGAACCTGCCTTTAAACCCGCGTTGTAAAACGCGTAGGCTTCTATTTGAAATGCAGATAGTGTTCATAACTTCCTGGATATCGATGCAACAACAAGCGTATATTATAATGTATTTATACATGATACTATAATTTAAGGAATATTTTTGTCTATCGCGACCAAGTCACGATTATGCTTAATCGTAAATTAAATTGCCCAATTAGAATTTTCATGTCAATTTTTTTCATGTTATCTAGTTCGATATCAACGTTAAAATTATTTTAACAATTTAATGGTATTTATCTTGAATCTTTACAAAAGTTTGAAAAATATAAAAATTATCAATCTTCTAAAAATTCATCTATTAGAATCTCACTTTTTTCTCTCTCCCTTTTTTAACATACAATATTATATTTAATTAATATTTATAAATACAAATTTTCTTACGCTATTTATCGTTCGATTATCCTAAATTGTAATTTAAATAATTTAACACCTTATTTTTCTCGGTAAGAAAAAAAATGTTAATTAGCCAATCGATTTAAAAATTTCAGAAAAATATTCTCGAATTAACATAATCATAAATCACTGAAAAAAATTCAAATTTGTTTCAGGTATACTCACAGCTGCAAAAGAAGAGCTAAAGCGGCGGATAGAGTAAAGAATTCCGCTTGGACGATTACCCAAAATCGGCCGGCTCCGGATTCCGAGGGCAGAACAACACAACGATAAGCGGCGTTGGTAAGTGAATTATTACTATTTAATTACATGGCAGCGCGTAGCGAGTGTTCGACCTGATACCGGATATCAGCGATTTCTCGCGCAGCGGGCGCGGAATCACGAAAGGTGCGCGCAATCAACAGTCGAGCCAATTGTTGACAATGGTATCGTGTTTCCGTGAGAGCTAACCATTGGTTAAGGATCGTTAGCGGAAATGTTCATAAGAAATTCATGGGATCGAGAGAGAGAGAGAGAGCGCGAGCGAATCGGTAGAAAATCTGTATTATTATTTAACGCTCAAGCACACATACTCGGGTTATCTTGTCGCTTGCATTAGTCTGCGTTCGCAATAACATTCAATTTAAAATTGCAAAAATGAAAATGATGCAACTTAATGCGTTTCATAAACGAGTAAAAGATTTGCTTCTGTAGAGAGAGAGAGCACTGCGAGAATATTTCTCGGTTACTTCCGTTACAATTTTGCCCAATTTCTACAAGTAAAAATATACATGTACACATACGTGTACGATATAATTTCACATAATAGATGTGTGGTTACATGGTAATACATGTAATCATATCACTGCAGCTGCGAATTACTACATTAATTAAAATTATAAAAATTTTTTAAATTATAGTATATCTCAAGCCACATATTTTAGAACAGTTTCACATATCAAGTTGTCACATGTTAAGTTTGACCGGATAAAAAATTCTTTTAATCGCTAGAGATCTATTCACTCGGGCTAGGAACAGAATTTAATATTATAAAATCCGCAAATGGCAAATGCTGGTGATCACAATATGTAATCACACCACTATCGGCGTTTTATTTATTGACGTGCATTTTTATTAAGAAATATACAATGCACAACCGATCAGTTGCGCATTCATAATCGCAGTCCCGCATGAAAAAGCGACTACAAAGCATGGATGTGCAAAACGATTACCATTACACGAGGACATTCAAATGTAAGTTTTAAACTGAAGATAACATCGTTTAGAATACTCTTATTCTCCTGGCAACAGAGAACCGTTGCAATTACATAATTATCCGATTGTACGACCAAGTTAACGTTGTGACGTTCATACAAAATAATTAAACGAAATAAAAGGTGTTATCGTGAAAAATTGAAGATTAATTGTAAACATTGACAATGAAAAAAATTATAATAGCATAAAAGAAAGGCTCTGCTAATCTAAACAATATAAATGACAGGACTTTGTCCGAATGATGTCCATAAATCAAGAAAAAAAAGAGTTTAGGAGTTTTGCTACCTGAGTCTGTATCCGTGAAATTTTACTATTGTTTATACTTTTATTTCAAAGATAAATGTTATTTTAATATACAGACCTTGTGCCTTTTGTGACAGTATTAATTTGTTCATTTTAATGGACATCTTTTGTTTCACCATTTTATCACGTTTATCAAAAATCAATTTATCATTCTTTAAAATAGAATATTATAAATGAGAAAAGACCAGAAATAATTCATTAACTGTTTTCGAAAGAAGGGAACTCTTAATATACGTTCAATATATATCTATCTATAATTTAGCACATATATATATATATATATATATATATATAATACATAATGTATTCTATCTATAATATAAAAAATGGTTTAGTATAAATTTTACAGGAAAAATAATAGTATCATGTCTTATGCAGTATATGAATTTTGGTGCAACTTAATATTTATAAAATATTATTATAAAATATATGTATATTCTTTGAAAATGAGATGAAACGTTCGCCTGAAATTTCCCGCCACGTTCATTCAATTATCGTTCCTCAGTATATTAATCGCGTATATTTCATTTCAATTATCCACGTTTGTGCACGGAAACAAAATTGCACAACCATAATGACAGCTCCAGATACGCACGCGTCCTTTTTACGAACGTTTCTTCGTTAGAAGAACAACTTTCCACTTTTCGCCCGTATTACAAGCCTCTATCGTATCTCTCGTGAAAAGAAAAAACTCAGATTGCTTAATAAGTCTCGAATCAATCTCGGGAATATCCTCGCGCCAAGAGTGGCTTCTCTGCCGCTGATATCAATTTTTTTCATTCGCATTATCAGCGCGAGTATAATTTTTTTTGAGCGAGAAATTACACGCATGGATCTATACACATCTATAATATGTGCGTCTTTCCCGAGTCTGTGGATCTTCATTAGAGGCAATTAGGACCACCGCGATCGTGATGGTTAGGTTACTTGCTGCTGCGAAGGATAATCATTAAGACATCTAGCGAATCGAATTGTCCAAAGCGAACACGAGGGAACGCAATTTGCCATCGGTTGTATAATTAGTGTTAATAAAAGGATGAAAATGCAATCAAAGTAACGACACGCGCGAAAAAGCGAACGATTTCCTTTTACGGGATGACGAGCAAGCATGCTGCCGTTATATAAAAAAACCAAATTTTCCTGCGTACAAATGAAGAATCGCTTCCTTCGACTGTGTATTCATTGAGATGCTAGAGTTTCCCACTTTTGCAAAAGTTTTTATTAAGCGGTATTTAACGTCAATATTACTCCAACAGATTTGTAATCTCGACTTGGACGCGTCGATAGACATTGCATTGTCTTCTCATCGATGATTAGACTTCTCTCAAGTATGAAAAGCTGTCTATTATCTGAAAGATCTCTCGGGTGTAATTGCAACGATAATACATACTTGCTGGCATCGATAGCAAAATGTTCTCTGTATTTAGCTACTGATTGAGTAAAACGGAGATTTAAAATAAGCGCGAATTAACTGTTAATTAACTGAGATTGTATATATTTTTTAGAAAAAATATATAGCTGTTTTCCTAGCGTTTGTGACATTTTATTTAATTTTTCTTTTTAATCAAGAAATTAATCAGTTATCTAACTATAAACTAAAGATTAGAGAAACGATTTTTTTGTTGTAAGCATGATGCCTATCCCAAGAAATCCAATCTTGAAAAATAAAGATAATGCAAAATTATGATAACATCCAATATTAATTCTAAAAATCTTTTTTTACATTTCTAGAAAAAAGTAACATTTATTCTATATAGCGGTAAATCACACACATCGCGATACACATAACTTTAAAATTTAATTTGTAAAATACAAATGATTTTATAAAATTTTAATATATCGATATGGGATCTAACACAAGCAGTGTGGTACAGAAGCGAAGCAAAATAGGTAATTAACTGTTGCGGTAATGTCCGTCAACGTAAAGGAGGCGATGCAGGAAGATCTTCTCCTTGCGCTATTAAGAGCCTTTAAGGATGTTGGCAGATAGGACTGAGGTGAAATAGGTTAGAGAAAATAATCAAAGACTTGTTTATCAAGACGATTTCCCGATTCCGCGCGCGCAAGTACTCACACATGTGTTTAGACGTACGTATATGTACACATATACACGTGCAAACGAAATAGCGATCGTGCGGGAACGGGAGAGGATCTCTCGCGTTTCTCAACCGTAATTACCGATACCGACTAATTGCTAGATAAGCGACTGCCTCTTCTACGTGACTGAACCTGCGATCGAACACATCATCCTCCATTATGTTGCTCTTATTGCATTAAAACGCGATCGGCGCGCGAAATTTCACACAATTTTGCAGTATGAGATATTCATGGAGAAATGTTGTACGCGTTCATTTTGTTGCGTTATGTTGGGTTAATGCTTCTCGGGATAAATATTCGTTACAAAATAAAGGAGCCGACGTGATATTGCTGTCCCATGACCGCTTCATTTCTACACATTTTTACTGACTACTTTTCGAAATTTTAAATAATATTTTTTTAAGAAACGAGAATAATCCATTAGAGTAACAATTATCCGTCCTTTTTACAATATCTATTTTTCTCATAAAAAATTAATTTTTAATAATTGTGTTCTAGAAAATATGTATATAATATTTGATATTTATTTCAGTTCTTTTTATTTCTTTTGAATGTTCTCGAGGGAAACATTACTTTCGTACGACCGAGGCTGTTATTTCTGACTTATAGTTTTTTGGAACCTACGTCATCAAGCAATGCGATTTTTGCTTTCACGTTACTATATTATAAAATTCGTGATATCGAGAGAAGCGCTCTATCAATTCAATATATACTCCGAAATTATTCTTTTTAATATATTTTTAGTGTAATTGTTTATAATAATCAAAAGCTACAAATTGATTGCTAAATAAACAGTATTAATAATTTTTACTATAAAATGTGAAGTAATATACCTCTTACTTTCTTCTTTCCATAAACGTGAGAAATTTAAGTTGAAAATAGTAAAATTTTAAGGCCTTGGATAGTCTTTTTTTTCATTTTAGTATAATTAATCTTACTATGTTAATCTATGAAAAAAATGTTAACCTTTCAAAACTTTTACTTATATATGTATTTTAACAGTATTGTTCTCTTCTTTTTATATGTAAAGTACTTTACTATTTAGAATACAAAAATAGGATTTCTTTCAATGTAGAAAATAAACTTCTTTAAGAAAGAGTAGAAAGTAGATGCCGTACCTACTAAAAAAACTTTATTTAATTTAAATGTTTTTAGTCTTTCAGCAAACAAATTAACAAAAAAATTAATGTACCTTTACCTTTAGATAGGTCTTTCATCTGTATTGCATTTACATCCTTTCTTATTTAATTAAATGTGTTTTAAAGTTTTTAAAAAGTAGATATTATTTTGCTTTACGATTTAAGCATTTGATATTTGATTTTAAATATCATGCCATAAACTTTGCTATGTATTCTCTTTCTAGTTTTTTTTTCAAAAATGTCTTCTTTCTTTGGTTCTTGTTTTATCTCTGTTAATAAATCTGATATAAATGTTGTTTATTTTTCTTGTTTAAAGAAATGATTACTCAATTTAATCCATTATTATTTTTTTCGATGAATGAAATCTTAAGACAATTACAATATTTTTAAATTATTGTCTATATAATTATCGTTTGAAAAAAAGAAATAATGCGAAAAAATATGTGAGAGATCGAGAATTAATATAGTTTATTAGAGATTTTTTTTTTTTTTTGAAGAAATCAGTTTGCGCATCTTTATACATATATTTTACTACCACTTTTCTCTATTTTCTAAGAATATTCTACTATCTTTCTAATTTGTCAGATTTCTATAGATTGAAAGAGGACCAGTAGTAATTCTAAAGAAGGTTTGTGTTGTGAAGGTTTGTATTGTGAAATTATCGAATAGAAGTTTTCACACATAGGTATTTTGGAGAAAGTCGGACCAAACAAACAATCTTGTAGCCGACGAAACAAACTTAATATTCTACAAAAGAAATTCAATAAACCTAACATAAAATGTACATAGTGAATACAGCTAATTAACAAATTAGTTTTATTGATAAAATGTCTATTTAAAATAAGAAATTCTAAAATAAATAACGACTCTAACAATTAAATCAGATTTGTAAACGAAAACAAAGTTCTTTATTGCCCCTCTTAAATCATTTATTATATTTAAAATCATCAATAGTAAATTATGATATTATCCACCGGAAACAGATTATTTGATACTACTGATTGATCAGTGCAATTTATATATATATATGCAATAACTATCAAAGATATATGAGAGAGAGAGAAAGAGAGAAGGAAAAACATTGCTATTGATCTTCTATCGAGTCTTTAATAACATCTCTAATAAAAGTCAGATTAATTTTGCAGCTGTCTCTCTCTCTCTCTCTCTCTCTCTCTCTCTCTCTCTTTCCTTCACGTTGTAAACATTAAATATCTCTTCGAGATACTTGAGATTTGTTCAATAATACATATTGGATGACAGAAATCTCTATCTTGCCGTAACCGATAAACGGCATCATCCATCATAAAGTTGTGCATATACGTGTTACAGCTTCGCGCGAACGGAATCGCGACTGAACTGCGGGGAGTCGAATGCGAGACGTGTTGGGAAGAGAGTTCTCTCTCGAAAGCAGCGATATATATATATATATATATATATAGTATATATTTCTTCTGTGTTTCCCATTAACGATAAGCGCGTAATTGGACTGAGGCGATATCAACGCGGGCAAATAAATTAATTATGACGCCAAGATGCGGAAAAACTAATGGCATAGCTTGTTTTGCTCGGCTTGGCGTGTCGCGCGATAAGAAAGCGCCGCGCGCCGAGGACAACAACATTACAAAATCCAAATTACGAAATACTTGCGTAACGCGACACCGGATAGGAATAATTATTACTATCGAGATTCGGACGCGCAATCGCGCGCGCGCGCTCTCTCTCTCTCTCTTTTTCTCTCAATATATATAAATTGATTCATTCAACTTTTACAATTAATGGTATTTACGTCAATTCCGATAACACATCATAAAAAAAACCGTGTATGTCGATGTCCTTTGACGTATCACAGTAAATGCAAACGTAAATTATTTAAATGTCACTACGAACAAATATAGATGAATTAACGTAAACATGTTAAGTATTCAGAATAGTAGAATAAATGGATAATTTATAAGATAATTTGTAAGATTTACGTCATATTTAAAGTAGCAAATTTTATGTTAATTTATTTCTTGCTTCGAGCACATCATATATACCTATCTTTCGTGCAATAAAAAAAGAGGATGTTTAGTAAATATTTTTGTGTTATGCGACAACAATATACGAATCAAATTATAATTAGAAATCAAATTTTCTACACGGTCAGTATATACATCATAATATTATATCATATCATTATATTTTATCATTTATCATATTATATTATCATATCATATCTTATTATATTTATCATATTATACCATATTATATTATCATATCATATCTTATTATATTTATCATATTATACCATATTATATTATCATATCATATTATATTATATTTATCATATACCATATTATCATATCATATCCTATTATATTATATTATATTATCATAACATATTATATTGTTTTATCATATCATATTATATTATTATTTTATATTATCATATATGTTTTATATTATCATAGTGTCTGGAGTGAAGAAACTTTGTAAACGATATTCTCCGATTGATCGCATTTCGTTACATATATTGTTATGTTTTCTACACTCACATTGATCTCGCATGATTTGCGATAACAAGAGTGAATGATAGTTTTCATGGAGATAAATCATTATCTGATAACCTGACGTAACTCTATTTATATGTTTAGTCATTCCCAAAATATCTTCAGTCTTATAAAAATTTAGTCTACAATCAATGTAATAAACATAATTAAGGCAAGATATAAGTCTCCTAAATTTCAGTAATCTCATTTTTTTGCTAAATTTAGCTTTTATCAAAGACGATTTTAAACATAAAAACTGTTTTTTTTTTTCGTTAAACAGCGCGTTTTTTTCTAATCGGTTAAATAAATATTTTCAACGATTCAAAGCCAAAGATGCTTGATACTCGTTGATGTCATCGTGTATAAATCCCAGCGCGAAAAAATCCAAGAGTTTAATCCAAACAAAAATCTATCACAATAACGAAATTAAATTTTTGCTAAAGCAATGTAAATAATGCATATATAAAATGCTTGACGAAACTTGTAACAAATTCTAATCTATCTTTCGACACCTGGCATATATAATGCACTAATTCTCAAAGCATTCCGAAGAATATCCGAAATAAAATAAATAGAACGAATATAAATAAACTATACGAAACGTACCTCCGGGAAATCTGTGCGGGAAGATTCGTCCGTGCCTCGACAGCAGCCAAGGATACAGAGGGTAGCTATCTCTCGGTGGTTGATGGGGATGAGGCGGCGGATGAGGCCCACCTGGGGCACCACCATGGGGATAGGGCCCGTGTGGGGGTGCGTGAGGTGAAGCGCCATGATGCGCCTGGAGCGCCACCGCAAGATTCGCCGCCTGGAAGTGTTGAGCCGCGGCCAAATTCGCGGCCAGGGCCAGCTGCTGCTGCGTATGATACTCGTTCTGGCCGGTCTGAGGATTCGCCGGACCGTGGCCAGGTAAACCGTACAGAGACTTGAGCTGCTCGGCGGCCACGGCGGCGGCGGTCGCGGCGCTGGGCGGCGGCGCGAGGTAATTCGGGCTAGGCCTGACCACCCCTGGGGGTGGTTGAGGGTGCGAGCCGACTGGGGAGTCCCCGTGCGGTATCCTGTGCGGCGGGCTGGGACTGTTGTTCGGACTTGAGGCGTCGCTGTGCACCGTCGTCCTTAGGTCACGAAAGTCCAGATGCGTCGTCGCCGACAGATTGTGGTGATGATGCGGATGCGGGTGTCCGTGATGATTGGTACCGTGATGATGATGATGGTGACCGCCGCCGGTCGCGTGTGAGGGTGTCCGTCGCGAGTTCGGATACGATTCGACGGACGAGCTCCTGGAGACGGGTCGATCCGAACCTTCGGAATGAACGCCGGGCGATCTCGCGGCAATTCGGCGCGCCCTTGGCGACGACGAGCCCTCGACTATCTCCATCGGGCTGCCATCCTCCCGCTCGATCTCGACCAGCGCACGATTTCGGTCTAACCGGTCCGCCTCGCGGCCACCCTGTCCGCCGCCGCCGACGATCGAGTCGATGCTGAAGCCGATCTTCGGCTTGGACGGCACCGGGACGATTGGCGTCGGCGCGAGCGGCATCATCGTACGATTATCGTACGCTTCCTCGGTGGACAACCCACTGTGACGGAACCAACGTGACGCGTCTGTGTTTTGTTCAACGAGTTCGAAGTTAGTTCCGCCGCATTGTCGCGGCCACCTCGAAGCCGTCTATCGAAGTCACCTTTTTTCGACGATATACTGACTTATTGAATGTTTATTATTATTGTTCTACAGTGAATCGTCCAAGGACATGCTATGTAATGTGTATATAGGGTGTTTATTTAGTGGAGATGATAATTTAATGAATAAGAAGAGGTTTTCGGATGTATTTACATTGGATAAACGTTGTCATTTTTTCATTGTCACTACTGAAAAGCGTATACACTAATTCGACGATGTCTTTTTCTCGTTGCACCAGTTCCTAGAGTATATCCGATCTCGATTATTTCTTTCGAACTCGGAGTACTCTCTAATTATTTTATCTCGGCACTTGCAGTCAAGATTCGATATTCCGTTCACGCATCACTAAGACGACTAATCGTCTTCACGAGGTCGTCGTAAATACTTGTAAATCACCTTCACTTCAGGGGGTAAATCTTTCAAATGTTGAGCCTTTTGCGCACCAAGGTCAAAGTGTATTTATATGAGACACCAGGATGCTAAAGCACATGGGATGTCATAAGGCAGAGTAGACGAGACGAAAGGAAAAATATCCATTTCTAATGATAATGGTCATGAGAAAAAATGAAAGCTCAACCTCTCATATCCGGCCTAAGTATTTGAGTCAACTCATTGGCACGATACATATGGCTTGTAGACGGCACAAAAGAATGATTAATGACAATCTGAAGACAGTCGAGCGAATTCTAATCGATTCTAGTCGTGCTGTTCGTCGAAGCACAACGATCAGCCAATTCTTGAACTTGAACTCAAAACCGATGTACCAAATGAGAGGATTATACACGCGTAATTGAACCAACGTACCTCGTCGTAATCACGAACGCCGTCGCACTGACTAAAGTCTCACGCCACTCACGTACGTCACGTCCGACACTCTCCATCGACCTAATCGCGACCTCGTTGACGACGAGGAGAAAAAAAACGAGACAAGGACGTCGTAAAGTGCAATGTCCCAAAATAGGAACACGCGTCGCGCGTTTTGTGGAATCCAACTCCCGAGAGCTAGGCACCGAGCACCAGCTCTGACAGATGTTTCTGGCACGAGAGCCTGAGAGTGTTTGAGCAAATTACGAGCTAAACGAACGTTCTCCCGCGTGGTAGTGGGGATCCACTGGTGACCCCACCACTTCGTCGTCGAACACCCTCGTCGAAGCACGGTTTTGCGCATATAGTGGGGACCAGAAAATCGACCATGAAGATGGGCGTTGCTCGATGTTGCTCGGTGTTGCTCGACGTGCTAGGCGTGCACCTTCGAACTTGATACTCCGATTGGTTGATTTTGCTACGGTGCGGGACCAGCAACCGGGTCGTGGTCATCACAGTTCCTGCGAGGGTATGTAGAAGCTGCAGTGGGGCGACGCATTAGTCGGCGATGGGAGTTAAACTCGCGTTTTTGTCGTGCGATGAAAATGAATCGTTTAATTAATACGTCTGGCTCTCGCTCCCACTCGCGGACCTTCCTCTTCTCGTTTCCCGCACCGCAACCTCACCTTTCTCTCTCTCTCTCTCTCTCTTTCTCTCTCTCTTCTTTCTTTCGGTTTCTTGTCGTCTCCTTCCCGCGAGAGAAACGAAAGAGGAACATTTACACTAAAGATAAATTGTTTTGACCGCAAACGATCTTGTCTTTAAAAGTAAGACAAACTATTGCCTCAACATTAGATTACACGATGAGCACTATAGGACGGGATGGATTTAGTTTTAATGTTGAACCTTGACGCAAAAAAATTATAATGAAACAATATCAAATTTCATAAAGGAAATCGTTTGATCATCTCATTTGGCATAGAAAAAAAGATAATAAAGAGAAAAGAACTCATAGCAAGTCTATCTTAGATATTGAAATTTTTCAATTAGGTTCATGCTTTTCTTTAGTTTAAAAAAAATTTCAAAAATATTATTTTAATAAATTGCGAACGAATTAAGAGTCTCTTTCAACTGTGAACCTGGAACTTAACTTTCTATTACTTTTATATAGATTAGTCTTAGAGATTGCGGTCAGTAAAAACTAGCCATTGAATTAAATCAGATACTCATCGGATGAAAAGATGATCGCGTCGTTAAAGTAAGAACACGTGATCTCGTACAAAAACCTTTCAAATCTCGATATTCCGAGACGATTGGCAGCTATGATCGGTAAATATCAAATATCTGTGTGATACTACAATTAACGAAGGACCTAACGGTAAAAACGATATCGCCGTATAATTTGATAGACGTAATTGCGCAATTAAGACGTCAGCCGACGGCGCCAATTGACGATCTTATTGTCAGGATGTTGAAAGCACTCGTGGATAGCACTGCTGTCAACCGAGCGAATATTTCATAATTGACGTTTATTTTTTCGGACCATGTTTAACTATTTGCTTGTAATCAATGTTAGTCTCGAAATCACGCTGAAAATGAGGACGAATATGACAACGAACGCATAGCACAAATACTTTTGATTGACATTTATACAAAATATTCATTTTTTTGATTGATCATTCTCTTATACTTTATAAGTAATTAATAAAAATATCGTAGTAATGTTCCGTTTATTGTTAAAAACTCGATTTAATTGCAAGAACTTTCTTTTTATTTAAATAGATTTGAAATCTCTTGAAGTAGACATGTAATCATCAAATTTTCGCTAAAAATAGACATTGAAATTTAATAAGTTATCGTTAGATGAATGCGGCAAAATTATTGTAGCCAAAGAACATAAATTTCTATAGAGATATTTCGATTTAAACATATTATAACTACTTGTCAGTTGGCGTTACGCAGTTTTAAAACACTGAATATTATTATTAAAGGTATATACGGTATATAGCACGTGCAAATTGCATTCCCTCGCAAATCGATATCGACTCGCTCGATATGTTATAAGAAGAAATATTCCATTATGACGATGGAGCGAGGTCTATCAGCGACAATAAATTCCGTGCTAAATCGCTACGTCTAATCAGAGTTAGAACGAATCAATCGACATATCAAAGGACGATGGATCGGAGACGCTCGGTAAATGCCATATCGCGTGAGATTGGAGGCACTCAATCACGGGGCCCTCATCTCGCCAGGAATAATCGATTAACTTTTAATGTTACATATGTTCGAATGATATCGAACGGCATTTACAACGCGTGCAAATGTAGACGCTCTCAGCTTCACGATTTGCGTCATTATACTTTCAATCATATTAATTTAGTAGCGCGCCTCGTTATATGCCTGAGATGAAATAATCCGCGTGCATTTTTAATTATTATATAACGCTACATAAAAGAGAAAGAAAGAGAGAGAGAGCAAGAAGAAGAAAAAATTGTGTACAAAGAAATTAATACCATCCAATTTTTTCCTATAATATAATTGATTGATTCAATCCCGTCAAAATTATCCCTTACACATTGTGCAGACACATTTTTAATCATCCGAAAAATACAGTGGACTTTCGCCGAAAAATGTTCCACACAAAGAATACTTCTCTTTCTCCTTTTGAGAATACAATAGTAATTTAAATCTTCAAAGAGAGAAGAGATACGTACATATCTTAATAAATACACCCTGTCCAGCCAAGTGCGAACCACCGACTCGCTTCAATTAGAGGAAGCTGCGTAGCGCGAGTTGGCTTTCTGAAATTGCATCCAACCCCTTAGGTCCTTGTATATCTTTTTTTTCTCCGTTTCCTCTCTATCTCTCTCCTCCTCTCGCCCCCTCGTCGCATACAACAACCGACCCCCATGGCGGAACTGGCGAGGCTCGATTTCTCACCCTACCGAAGACGGCGCGTGTGGCCGCGACAGCGGCAGCAGCATGTGTGTAGGTGCTCGACACGTGAAGCAAAAGTGGGGGTATTCAGCATGGCGACTGTGCACACATCGTGCACAACGGTGCACCAATGCGCGAGCTGCCCGAGCACGCCCGTTTCAACGACTCGTCGTTTTCTTATTTCCTCTCTAGAGCCCCCTCGATCTCTTCTATCTTCTCCTTCTACTACTTCTTCTTCTTCATCTCCTCTTAGGCGTTCTTCCATCATCGTTTTTCCCGCAATCGCGAGATTTTCTGTCCTCCCGTTTAACCCCTTTGTAGCCCAGAATTCAAGCCGTTCGCATCTCTCGAAGTGACTGGGAATATCGGTGATAGTGTTTCGTTGGCGTAGAGATTATTGATAAGCAGAAAGAAAGTATTTGGAGAGATAGAGGAACTTTTGAGAAATTTTGATTCACATATGTATTAGAGTATCATATTTTGATATCTCATCGTATATTTGGATGTTGATTATCATTTTGTTAATATAAGATAAGTATAGATGATAGAATAGATTTAATTTGTTGATGAACTATTGTAAACTCCACATAATATATCCATACATCTCTTTCTTCTCTCCTATTTCTGAATAAAATGTGGAAAAACTTTTAGTCTCTCTCTCCCCATAACTGAACTTTCAATGCATTGTACTTTCTTTCAACCCTCTCTTTGAATTCTCCCTTATAGATAGAATGGCACGTGTAAGCCCATATATATATGTTTCTCAATAGCTCCAAAATTCCAAGACATTTTTATCAAAGTTTTTAAGCAACTTTCGGTTTGATTCAGCTCTCTTTCTTCTACCATCGAAAAAGCCGTTACTGAGGAGAGAAAATATTCGTTTACAAATATAAAAAATCATGACTCTATTTAAAAAAAAAGTGAATTTCTAGGATTACATAAAAAAAATCGCAGAAACTGCTCGACAAATCCGTTGATATTTTCCGTTAACTAGTAAGAATTGTTAGACCGCCATTGTTGGGGTGAAAGGTAAAGGAGTGATCTAGAAAAAAAGAAAAAATAACAATCACTGTACAATTGTCGATTGTGTCGGTATTGTGCGTGCCATTGTTTGATAGCCCCAGAGCAACAATGGACTTCCTTTATCCGCGCGTTTTCTATCCGATCGAAATGTTCCGATTGAAATTGACCCCTTTATTGACGCCGCGTTTCCTCGCGTCGCAAACAAACGGAGAGATTCAATTTTTCATTTGTACGTTACGTAAAGAACGTTACGTGCGAGAGGATCGTGGTTCTAGATTCGCGAAAAAATACAATTGAGATTTACACATTCCCAGGAAGGCGCTTCTGGGACAATAAAGCATTTATCGATAATTTTATAGTCCTTGAAACATTTATTTATTTAATATTTAATTTTTCTTAATGAAATTTCACTCTATTTTTAGTGGTATAAACTTAAACCGAAACTACTGCTTATCCAATAATACGCTGATGCTATTCAAGAATTTGGATAAGATTTTACACAATTTAATTGCAAATGGAAGAGATAAAGTCATACGAAGAAAATGAAGATAAGTCGACAGCTTTGTTTTCAAATTAAGTCTTACATTGCCTGCAAATCACGACATTATCAACAATTATGCAAACCGGTCGGGGAACTCGGCGATTTAAGAGTCGTCGATCGCGGTGGATAAAAAGGCTCGTTAAAGTCGCGTGAAAAAAAGATTAATTTCCCAGGATGCGCGCGCGCGTTTCGTCTGTTACGCGGAAAGAATCGAATGTAATCGAGCATATAAAAAGGGGAGCGGGACTAATCCAAGCCGCATGATTGACCGAAGGCGTTATGTGCACGAGATGGCACAATGGTGGCGCGAGACGAATGGAGGTCTCTCCCTCTTTTCTCGGCATGTGCTTAAGGATTGCATTACAGGCAAAATGGCGTGCTTAATCAGGCCATTTATTCGCCATGCAACGGCCGGCCCCGGGCATGAAAAAGCTTTTGTAAGACGTCTTGAGACGTCTACCGAGGGAGACCCGTCGCGTCGTCTCGTCACTGGTCCGCGGTATTTTGTACATTGTACGTGTCCGACGCAATTATAATAAGCTTGTAATGTCGATATAATGGGCTGTCGGGAACCGTTGACTCGCCCCAAAGAAGCCCCCCAAAAGCGTCGGTCTCATCTTTTTTTTCCTCGAGCTGTGGTGAGAAAGGCGAGCGAGTTCTGCATGCAAACATAAAAACTTTCGATATTCTTAGAAGCTCGTATATTGTATTTCGAATCGTATTCAATTTTGCGTTCA